TAAAGTAACACCATTCAACATCTTTATATATTTTCTCGTGTTTCTCAGCCCTATTGCTAAAGCAGGTCTCATGAAGTTTATTTTTATTTCTATATAAATCTGATGTCCACCTTCATGTCTGTTCTTGGCTATTGAAATATTCTGTTCTGCACATCGTGTGTATTGTATGCTTTATCACAAGTTGGAACATTTCTGACGTATGATTGCTTCCAAACAGCCTTTCATTTTTTTTGTAGGTACTTTAAACCTTTTGTATTAATAATCCTAAATATTCTTATTTAAATATATTCCCAATGAGGTTACACACTATAGAAGATACTTGAATCAAAAAGCATTTTAAAATACAAAATAGCTAAAAGACCGCCTTGCCAATTAGCCTACTGCTTATCGCCATAGGTGTCGCCAAAGAGCACAACGATTGTAATTTAAGATTCAATTGACTATAAACGACTCATCTCCTACTCAATCTTTATCTAGAGGAGTTATTTTATGAATGTTGTTAAAGTTGAAAGTGATCCTGGGATTAATAAAATCAAACCCACAGATATAATGTTGTTCCTCTTTCCCTGATCTAATGAAATGTGTTTGTGCAGGCGGATGCTAAACTGATTTGTGATGTGGTCACTCGTATGGAGGACACAGAGCCATACTCTGCGGAGCTTCTCACTGCGATGCAGCATGTTTGGGCTGACGCCGGCCTGCAGGAGTGCTTCAGCCGCGCCCGGGAGTACCAACTCAATGACTCTGCTCAATAGTGAGTGAAGCTGGAGGACTACAAGAACCCACATTTGCAAAGAAACTCCACACCACCAGTCGTCTAATCCACATTGTACCTGATCTTTGTCCCTCTCGTTCTCAGCTACCTGGACAGTCTAGACCGGATCGGGGCACCGGACTATCAGCCCACAGAGCAGGACATCCTGAGAACCCGAGTGAAGACCACTGGCATCGTCGAAACCCACTTCACCTTCAAAAACCTCCATTTCAGGTAGCCTGCATGAAGAATCGTGCCCGCTGGGTCTTTGTTGTTCTGCATGATTCGGTTCAGGGATTACAGCTCTGAGGTCTGAATTGACTTCTTACTCTTGTTTCCAGGCTGTTTGACGTGGGGGGTCAGAGGTCAGAGAGGAAGAAGTGGATCCACTGCTTTGAAGACGTGACCGCCATTATCTTCTGCGTTGCTCTGAGTGGATACGACCAGGTGCTCCATGAAGATGAAACAACTGTAAGTGTGACTCATTCAGCGGATCCCTGTGGAGCTCTGTGTTAACTGATATTTAAGTGTTTAGGATTCATAAAATATAGAAATCACTAGGATGTTTTTTTCCTTTGATGCATTGACATCCTAACTTTAGACCTCATTATCATAACAATTAAAAAGCTAAATGTTATTATTTCCAGCTTTCATTTTCATAAAACTATTTTGTACTCGCCTTCAAAACTATGCTTTTTTAAACAACTTGCAAATCGAGAAGGCATTTCCTTACAGCATCAATAATTCAGGAAAGCTTTTCTTGAACATAGCAGTTCTTTCTGCATCTTTTTACTTTCTACAAACCAAAAGAGAATATTGAAGTCTTCCTTTTAAAGGAACTTAATTGTTTAATGTCTACAAAAGACATATGCCTGAACATATCTTAAATGTTTATTGTTACAGATTTAAAAATACATTCTCTTAATTCACAGATGTCAGTGTTTCGCTCTGCACCCAAGTCGGTTCAAACATATTTGAAGATGATATGTTCACATTTGAATGTCTGATTTGGGAACTGTACAACACTTTTAGAGGTGGCCTGTCGTTGATGTGAATAGAGCAAATGTCCCTGAAAGGGGAAACCCCCGTCACAGTAGACGGATCCTATTTCAGAACCATTTTTTATAAAACCAAAACATGTTTTTTCTTTTTGTAACATTCAATAAAAAGGGTGCATTTGTAACGATCTAATTGTTTTCCATAGAAATGAACTAGGAAGGACAGGTTTGAGGGTTTCCCTGCAACTTCTACATGGATCTAAAGACTGAAAAAAGCGTATTTCTTAACTACTGTTCTTATGTCTTATTTGATCATTGTTGAATCCGTGTTGTGCTATTCTTGGACAGGTCTCTCATGTTAAAAATGTCTTAGATCACAATAGAAAAAACGTGGCTAAATAAAAAAAAAAGGTTTGGCATTCATCTGTTACACATTAAGTAAACAGTTGTGATGTAGTTTTATCTGTGCTTTTATTCTCCTCCTCACAACAACCACATATTGATTGTTCCCACAGAACCGCATGCATGAGTCGCTCATGCTCTTTGACTCCATCTGTAACAACAAGTTCTTCATCGACACCTCCATCATCCTCTTCCTCAACAAGAAGGACCTGTTCGGTGATAAGATCAAGAAGTCACCGCTGACGATCTGTTTTCCAGAATACACAGGTGAGCTTTGGTTTCAAGCAGAGCTACAAAATAAGTATCATTTTCATTTTAAATTAAACCTTTGATCCATAAAATAAAACGTCTATCCCAGTTCCTTGGTCTCCATGGTGATGTCTTTAAACGACTTCAGTCAGTCCAAATCTCAAAGATATTCAGTTTAATTAGATAATTCACAGATATAAGACAGAAATCTTAACATTTGAGCGACTGAAAACAGCAAATTCATCTATTTTTCCTCAAAAGATGAACTGATTACGACTACTATTTCACCAATTATTAGTTTAATCCTTGCTCGTCAATTTTCCAGCAGAGATGTACAAGCAAATAGTGTTGAATGTTGTTCCTTCATGCTTTCCCCTCTCTCTGTCTGCAGGTGCTAATACTTACGACGATGCTACTGCATATATTCAGGTTCAGTTTGAGAGTAAGAACCGCTCCCCCAACAAGGAGATCTACTGTCACCTGACCTGTGCCACAGACACAGGAAACATCCAGGTAGTGTTTGATGCCGTCACTGACATCATTATTGCAAACAACCTTAGAGGGTGTGGCTTATACTGAGGCCTGGCCAAGCACAGGGGTTGTCATGGGGAGTATGAGGTGTTAATAATGATAATTTTGATGATACTTAAAACACATAAATATGTAATTCTACACGTCCAAATGGACCCAAAGAGCTGCCGTCCGACACCACACCGGATTATCGCCATGATTTGTTCCCTCCCTCTCATTTTGATTTCAATATACAACCCCAGTTTTGTCTTTTTAAAAAATTGTGTTTTTGAGCTGAATGTTTCATGTTTCGTTGATGACCGTGTCAACAACCAGGGAGGATCAGAAGGGGGCGGCACCAGGGTTGTATTCAGCTAGAGCCTCGATTTTGCAGAACTCAGAGTGTGCAATGTCATTTTTAAACACAGCGTGGACTAATTGTCCCTTTCTTAATGTAATGTTTTGATGTAGAAGTCTGAAGGCATTGATATCTGTCCTGAATTTAGCCTGTTGTGCTGCGTTTGAAGAGCTGCTGTGTGTTTGAAGGTGGAGATGATGTTGATGAAGTTGGGGAGGTGCTGTACTCGTGGCTGAGGGTCATGGTGGGGAAGGAGGCTATTTTAACTTTCAGACGGGACAAAGCTCCCCTCTCCTTACGACCCACACATGACTGAGTCGCCTGCAGGTCTTTTCCACTCTCTGTTTTCTCTTTTTATTCTTAACCATAATGAAAGAGAGGATTCTTCTCTTCAGAGTGGCGGCCCATTTCCATTGGCCTCCTGTAGCGTGAGGAATCCAGCCAATGATATCTTTAAAAAATACATTTTAAAATCCTCATATCGGTGCCAACCATCTGAGAAGGACAGTTTAGGAAAATGAAATCACACTATCGCAGATTATTATCATCGAATGATTTATTTATTTTAGCCTCATGCCCTACATGCCTCCTCCTGAAATCCCGTGCCACATATTTATTTCCTGACATGAGAAACTGGGGTACACGCCACCTGTTCGGAGGGTAGAAAGCAGCCTTCCAATGACATCTTGTTCTCCGTGTGGTGCTTTACCCCTTGATGTGAATCTGTGTAGAAGTAGAAGACTGCACGAGAACAATATCATTTGAGGAAGGGGGGGGAGCTCCGAGTTTTTCCCAAAGCTCGTCTCCCCTGATCAGTAAGCAGGGAACAACCACCACCACCCCCCCACCCTGTCTGTCACATTTCTCTTTACACAGAAAAAAGTACAGCCCTCCATTTTTACCTGTGCACCCAGAAGTTTATCTCCCCACCCCCGTATACTCTTTATCTATCACATATCAGTCCCCATATCCTATCTCCATTTTCACCTTAAAAGCACCGTACTGTATATATATTATGATTATACCAGATTTTTTTTTTACTGTGAATGTTTTTGTGCTGCACCCCCCATCCTATTTGGTAGTTTATTGGTTGCTCTCATGTGGAATGTTTGTGCTGAGCCAATCGAATGTTGTGTTTACATTAAAGCCACACTTTTCCTAACGACTCCTGCTGCTTGTGTTCGAGTCTCATTACACTGACGGAGGAAAAGAGGTGGAGAAGAACTCTGAAAGTAGCATTATTATTTCAGTGTAATGTAAAAGTTATAAGTCACGCCTTCAAAATCTTACTTAAAACTACAGGATAGGATCAATATATAGTACCGAAAGTAAAAATAATCATTCTTCACGAAAGGCCCATTTCATAATGATATTATATAACTGGATGGTAATGGTTATGCTCACATCACTTTTGGTAATAACTTGTTGTAAAATTCATCTTTTACTTTGTTTTTTTATAGTTGTATCTGTTTTTTATGGCAAATTAATTGCACTTTTATGTGTGGTGCTTTGGGGAGGTAGACAAAGGAAAACTGAAAGAAATAGACATTAAATAAAATAATACTCAGGCACATTTATCGCTCTAAATCTTAAGTTTTAGCAATACCATAAAGGAGTCAGTGGTCTTTAGCTGCACGTTTAACTGAACAGATCCTTCATCTGGCCCTCAAAATGAGCAGATTTTAAAACACAGGTTGTGAACATTTGAAAAGATTGACAATCCAAAATATTTTCTTCTGTATTGTCTTTATTATGATGAACTAAGAATATCTATATTGAATGTCAGTTTAAATTCCAGAAACATTATTGTGCACTGATGTCATAAATAAATGTTTTTTAATGCTTATTAATTGTCTGCCTTTGTGTCTTCAGCTTTAACAATGATGATTTACTTCTGTAATATACATTTTTGAGTGTTTTGCCTTCCTGGTTCTTCTCAATGTTTTGTAAGCTTTGGGCAGGGAACATTATTTGTATGCATGACACAATGATGATAAAAAAAATCAATCACTCCTTGTACTCAAGTAAATGTACTTTCCACCACTGAAGAGGGTTGCTGAAAAACTGCACTGTTCACAGAAACATTTAAACACACTGACCTGATTTAATCTGAGCAAGTAAACAAGGTTAGACCGTGAAATTAGGCTGAACATTATGAGAACACTGCTTCACTGCCCAGTGAACACAGCTTTGTGTGTCGAGTGTCAGTAATACGTAAAGGCTTGGGAACAGGACTTCCATGGCCACAGGGCAGCGCTGCGTGAAATGTGGCTGATGCCGAGGATCAGAGCCGCTCTCGATTTATTAGGTTAAAAGTGTTCCATCATCACAGCCGAGGAGCTATTCATATATTGAACGAGTGGATCAGCGTTGTGACCTGCTTCTGTCACTTTAACGGGCCTGACGTTCATTACTGCTCTGTTCCACTGAGAGCCTCGTCCCAGAGCGCCTCTATTCTCAGCCGGCTACAGGTCGGGACGGTGGAAGTCCCTGTGTGACACCTTTTAATTACACTTTGAGGAGAAGATTCACATATATTACACATCTGTTATGTGGAATAATCCACCAACTCTGCCATGTTAAGGGATACTACTGGTGAACAGGGTAAAACAATTATCATTTTAAAACATTTCCAGAAACAGCAATCTCATATAAAACATTCAATGAAGCCAGTTATACGTCTTATTCTTTTAGTTGAAATATTTAAGTGTATTTACAAAGGAAACTTTACGTTTCTGTCAACAGTCATACAAAAACAATTGCAATGTTTTTAAGAATAAAATGAAAATGAAGAACCCATTTACATCAGAATATGAATATGATTGAAACTAGAAGCTTTTATGTTTAAATCTGCAAAAGTGAATTAGTGAATTATATACAAATCTACAAGCTTAATTAGTCAACATGAAATAAACAACTTAATGTGTATTTTGTACGTAGAAAGAAAACATGTTATGAAATCAAAAAACCCAAAACCGGTGCATGAAAAAACTATGTTTGCCTTTAGTGTCTCGCCTTAACCACAAAACATACATCTACAATCTGGGCAGTAACTCTGGTTCAGACTGACATGAGCCGGCCTGCAGGAGAAGACGGAACCTGAAAACCTGCCTGAAATATCCAGGATGATAATCTTTCATTCAGACAAAAATGTATTCCTTGTCTTTTTGCCAACATCACAAGGTTGGTGTTTTAGGATGATCCCTGCTAACCAGCTGGTGAATGAGTTACAGCCGCAGCCTCTTGATGTCTTCACTTCTGAAGTCGATACGCAGCGTGAGAACCTGACGCACCTCCGCCGGGGTCAGCCGCCACGTCAGGGGGCCCGAGTTCGGCCCCCAGTAATCCAGGATCTCAGTTACCTGCAGCACAAATACACACATATGAGTAAACCAGGAAACAGTGTTCACACCTTTACTTAAGGTTCTGAGAAAACAATATTTTTAGCAAAATGTATTTAAAAAATATTAAAATGATTCATGATACAGAACTCCTGTGAGTGTTATAGCTGTCATAAATTATTTTAGCAAGTTATTATTATGAATGCAATATTGTGTGGTTACCAGTTCCCTGTATTCATTTATTAAGGAGCAGTTTTTCTAGCAAAGGATATGGGCCTGATTTAAAAGAGCCAAATAAAACATTTTGAAAAACTCATTATGACAAAGCTTCATATTTTATAAAACCATGATTTGTTCTGTATATTAAATCCCCATGCGTAAAGTAACTAGCAAATACATCTGTCAGATAAATGTGGTTGAATAAACCTTCCCACAGTAGTAGCAAGCATTAAGGAGCATACTATGGAAATACTAAAAAACAAGAAACTCTAATATCTATTACTTGATTATATGTACGAGGGTACATTCCACTATGGGGTGTAAATGGACATAAACATTACACGATCCATTATATTGATGTATATATTGACGTGTACTGTGTGTGAGATGATCTAAATTACCCGCTCCAGGTTTAGGATGGTGGCCATTTGTGTGAGGCGAGCGAACTTATCCCTGATGGTCCAGGTGGTGACGGTGGTGAGGTACGCCACCAGAGACCGAAGCTCTTTGTCGAACTGCAGCCCTCCGAGCTACAACAGAAGAACCAGAAACAGTGGATGGACTTTATGTTTGAAAAACGTGTACACATTTATTTAGACCTCCCCTGTAAAACACTCTGCTCTAAATAGGAAGATGTTTTCGTGACAAAAGGAGGCGCCCTCTGCTGCAGGCCTCTCTGTACTCATTAATAAATCATAGCTTGAGGCTTTTCGTCACATGTGGCAGGGATGTGATGCAATATGCTGCAGAGGAGGCTCGCCGCCACCTTGTGGCTGAGCCCGGCTACTCACCCTGCTGAACGAGCATTTGAGGACGGTTTTCTCCATTTCTATAGATATCAAGCTGGTCATCAGGCTGGTCAGAGTGTCGTAGATCACAGCAGACATGGCCGTCTGGAGAGGAGAGAGAGAGGATAAAGAATCAGTTCACCCCAAAAATCAACATATACAAACCTATCCTCTTACCTATAGTTCTATTTATAAATCTACATTGTGTTGGTGTAGTTGCAGATGACTTGAGATATCGGTCTTATATAGATGTCTGCCTCGTCTCGAATATATTTGACCTGCATTCCACTCACCCTGTTGTGCTAAAAGTGCCTAAAAGAAAACACCTTTGAAAAATATATTTCTCTTTTCAGTCATCATGACCCGATTAATACAGATAATACACTCAACTTCCTGCGAGATGTAAACATTAATGCCTTAAATGTTAAGTAAGCTGGCTTCCTTTTGTGCGGTTATACAATATAAAGAGGATAGTTTCTACATAAAACTGCTCAGATCAAGGACTGTGGATCATCTTCAAAAACGGTATATTATTTCTGGTGAGAGACTCTGCTGTTGAGATTTTAAAATGTATTTTTTACCGTGCTTTGAGCACCAAAGGTTGAATGCCCTCTAGTTCTGTTATACTCCGAGAGAAGGCAGACATGTCAAAACTCACACTAGATTGATGAATAGCACTGCAGGTAAGAGCTTAAAATGTGTTATTTTCATGTTGGCCTGAACTGGCCCTTTAAAACATATATATTTCATGGCTGAAATGCTGCTCAGACGAGGTACCTTGAACTCTGCCATGAGCTGCTCCAGGTTGACGATGAGCTGCTGCACCCAGGGATCATTAGCTTCATAATCATTAAACTCCTCCTGTGAAGACACCAGCTGTTACTGCAACATGCTTTATGACCTCTGGTTTATTCCGGTTCTCTGCTCTGAGACTGTTACCTCCTCGATGTTGTGAGAGATGGACAGGAAGCTGCTGATCCACGGTTTCACCTGAGACTTTATGGCTGTTGTGTTCAACTCGGTCAGGCCCTCCTGTGAAAGAAAGATCTCATCAGAGTCTGAAGCTTTTACCACAAAGAGGCTTTATAGAACTACTAGTTTAGTACAAGCGGGCAGTGATAGCTTTGAATTTCAAATATCCTCAGAAAGATGAGTAATCCTTCACTGAGACACTCAGAAAAACGACACCAGTTGTTTTTTTAGTAGCCATCTGTTAAAGCTAAAACACAAAACATGAAATACATTTGAATCAAGTAATACAATTAATAAACAAATACAAATGTAAAGATTTGGATTATTAGATCTAGAAAAACTTAGAAATTATTAGAGAATACTTTTAGTTTATGATGATAACACTTCAGTACAAGACTTCAAGAGGACATATCATACTCAGGTTCATATTTTATTTCTCACCTCTACTGTGACATGTCTCCATGCTTTAAAGGTGGGGTTGGTAATTTAGGAGAAACCAGCTCGAGTGCGCTAGAATTTGAAAATAGTACACAACCGGAGAAAATCTGCCACTTCCTTACAGAGCCCCTCCTCCAACACACACAAACGCGCACATGACCAATGAGGGCATACATTTGTGCACAGATGGAAGGCTGACAGGCAGGTAGGCATCCAGTTATTTTAGCCGGGTCGGCTAAAATGATTGGTCGTGCTTTTTACAGTACTACGGCTTTCATAGATGACATTTTTTATGGATTTTTTGTCAAAGCACTTAAGATATTCATTGCTATCGGGATGTTAAGAGCATTCCATGGAATATAACAAAAAGTGTATCTCGAGCCGGTTTCTCCAACTGACCTACCCCACCTTTAATGTTCAAAAAGCTCTTTATTTTTCTCCTACTGCCTGTGATGCAGCAACTCTTTTCACCCTCTGTCTGAAACCAGAGCCCAGTCTGCTCTGATTGGTTAGCTGGATGGCTCTGTTGTGATTTGTCAACTCGTATAGATGTTCCGCCCCTAACCCCTAGATTCCACCGGATCCGTCTGCGGCGCGTTACGGCTGCGCCGCGGTTTTGGTCCGGCCTCCTCCGGCGTCATACCCTACCGGGCGCGTTTCAGAAGCATTTCAGAAGCGTAGCGTCTTGCCTGCCGGCTCGCAGTTTTTGTTGATTTGGGCATATTTCCTGGACAGGCTACTTTGTACAGACAAAGTTAATAATAATTGTAATATCCCAGTTATAAACGACATGAATCAAAGATGTGTTGCTGTATTTTAGTGGTAAAAAAATGCATTCATCATCATAATTATTTTATATATATAATGTGCACAGTGCCTGTAAACCGGAGGAGAACGCTGGCATTTCTCCTCCTACTTGAAAGACTACGGGAGGATAGGGTCTGCAAAATTAGTTTGTGTTTATATATATGCTATATATGCTCTGAACGTTCCACTTCCTGCCCGACATTACCTTACGGCTGCGTCGCGTCGAAAAATAGACTTCAATCCTATTTCGAGCGGAGCCCAGCGGCGAGACGCTTCTGGGACGCTTCTGAGCCGTAACCCGGCGCGTCTGGTGGAAAAGCACCCATTGACTAGAGTGGCCGCGATCCTTGCGGACGCCGCGGCACAGCCGCAACGCGCCCATAACGCACCGCAGACGGACCCAGTGGAAACTAGGGGTTAGCCTATTATGTCAACTTTGTTGGAGCTCTAGCCAGTAGAAGCGCTTACACAGTGATGTCATTATGTTGTATGTATAATGGAGGGGTTTCAAGCAGGGGGTGCGGCTGGGGGGTGGGAGAGAAACTTTAGTCTGCCATTGCAGACCATTTTCATGCACAAAAGACTATATACAACACATCAGGAAAGGGAACAGCCAAAAAGCTAAATAGGACCTCTTTAAGATCAATGTCTGCAGACATAGTTTTCCTCGCTGTAGACACTAGCCTTTCAAACTCATCATTTAAAAAGCACACTGATGTAAGTGTTCCCTTCAATGTATATAAATAAATACACAACAAGTAGCTGACAGAAATGATGTGTGTGAGTGTGTGTGTGTGTGTGTGTGTGTGTGTGTGTGTGTGTGTGTGTGTGTGTGTGTGTGTGTGTGTGTGTGTGTGTCCAACCTGTAAGAGATCCTTGAATTTGGCGGATGTGTTGACGAGGTCGGACAAACAGCTTTCAATCTTAGCTTGGTCCCCGGAGCCGGGAACCTGATTGAACAACTTGGAGCAGTCGTTCTGCGAGGCAAAGAGAAAACAAGTACATCTCAGAGGAATGAGTCAGCTATAGAGGACAGGATGAAGAATCAGAGATGGATGGTGTTTGTGGGAAACTTACCTCAAGGTTTCTCTTTAAAGTGGTGATGTTGTCACTACAGACCTCTACGTTATTCAGAGTCACCTGACGGAGAAAAAGACAAAAAGAGACTAGTCAGCCATCCTTTCTCTTCTAAATCAATAGGTCCAACTGGTAGCTATGAAGTGTTTCTTGATTCCATTTCATCTTTTGACAAACGGTTTAAAAGGTTTTTGAAGTAGTGCCTCCTTCGGCTAAGAGCCATTTTAAATATTAAAACACTACTCACCGCACTTAAATTAGGAGCTTATTCATGCATGTATTCCTCAGCTAAATTACTGCAGAGATAATTTAAGGGGCTGTCGCTCTGACCAGAACAAAGGGCAACCTCATCCAAACTCTACTCACACATTCCAAATACTGCCTATTTACCATTGATTCAAATGTTCACTTTTGGTTAGTTATTAACATCATTCTGACTGAAAATAATTATGCTGCTGAGAAAAAAGGCATACTTGCCATTCAATTAATTATGTAGGAAATGGTTGCTTGACATCATAATTCTCCACCTGCCCCCAGCTTAACTCCCCCTTAGCTCTTTCTCTCTCTTTGAACATACCAAGTTGTCATCTCATAGTGAATAAAAAAGCATCATTTACAGCTGTGTGTTGACTGAAATGCATCACAACCTAAAGAACAAATCTCCAATAACACAGCCAGCAGCTCGTGTCACAAGCTAAAGAAGCTAGCATGTGTTTGGCCTGAGAAGACATGCTAACCAGGGGGTAACGAAGTACTACTTTATTAAAGTAGAAGTAGAAATACCACAGTGTAGTACTGTACACAAGTATAAGCACCAAAATAGTTTGACAGTGCCAAGAATGAAAAAAGGTACTCATCATGCACAACAGCCCCTTTCAGGATAATATATATGTCATTGTATTAATTACTGATTCATTCATGTTTTAATCTCTTTGATGTAGCAGCTGCTAAAGAAGGAGCTTTTTTGTTACCATTACTGCAGGATAGCCTGGGAGTTACTCCAATAAGGTTTTATCTTTACTTATAATTATACATGATTGGTTTTTAATTGTTAAAAGCTGTTAATAAGTGTATTTAAAAAATGACCTGCTTCAGAATTGTTGAGGTGCAGAAGTATAAAGAAGTTAGAAATGATAATACTTGAGTAAAGCACATCTAAAACTCAAGTAAAATACTTAAGTAAATATACTAAGTTACTATCCACCACTGATGGTCATGTTGTGTTTCACAAGAGGGGGGATGAGCTGTTGCTCCAGCAAATGTAACCCAGCCTTGTGCACAGCTTAGCGTATATATTTGTGTTTTCTGTTGGTCTCACCAGAAATGCAGCCTTGGCGTTTTCAGCGCTCTCGATGCCCATGGTGTTGAACTTCCCCTGCTGTAAGCTGCTCTGCATCAGGCTGACTGCACTGCTGACGCCTCGCTGGATGTCCTGAAGCGTCGTGGCCGGGAAGCCCTGCCGCAGCTTGTTATACAAAACCTCCCTGAAACACGGGCAGGAGGAGCACAGACATGTATGAGGCTTGTAAAATAACAACAGAGACAGTGTTAGATAAGTCATCAGTAAGTGAGAGGGAGAGCACCTGAAGTCCGACTCCAGCACGGAGTTGGCGTGGTTGATCATGGCGCAGAGGCAGTCGATGCTGGAGCTGGATAAAGCTCGACTGATGCACTTCTTCACGATGTAGAAACAGTCGTCCACCATGCTGGATGTCAGTTGGCCCTTTTCATACGAATCCATAGTCACAGCCTGAGGAGGAGAATTCATTTTATTTCAAGTTCATTGAAGTCGCTCTGATTAGAAAGATATTGCATTTACTGAATGGAAAACCCTTGCATTCATTTTTCCTAAATGTCGAACACTTAATTAACTATCATACCATAGATAACAATTTCACAACATGTTATCATATTCAAATATGTTCCTAAAAAAGGTCATCAAGATTAAGATTGCTATTTATGAAACCATTTGGATCTGATCAATCTCACATCTACGAGCAAAATATGTTACATATAATTCGCTACCAAAATAAGTTTGCGTTTATCTAAAATAATCAGAAGCATGCAGCAGCAACGTTATCCATTTTTATGTCCTACATTACCAAAAATGCAAAGATTCAGGTGTGCTATGGGTACAACAAACATCAATCCTATATCATTAATGCAAAGTGAAAACACAGATGCCGGCTAATATTGTATCATTGTTAAAGAATCAATATAGTTGTCAGAGACTGTATGAGACGAGGTCATTTACCTTGTTGACAGTCTCCCTCATGTAGTACTCTTCCATTGGGATATAGTAGCCAATCAGCTCCTGCATCGTCCGGCTCAGCATGCAGTGTTTCAGCAGCTTCTCCACGTTCTGCTGATGCTCTGGGAGTTCAAAATGTACCAAAAATTATATATTTTAGAGTTTAGATGAATGGCTTTTAAGCTCCACGTTTAAAAAAAGAAACATCTGTGCATGCATTACAACGTGTACCCTGTGTGACGCTCTGAGCATCCCCAACTTCGAAGTCGGCCAGCAAGCGGCGGCGTAAAAAGCGCAGGTAGAGCTCCGCCCTGGCGTTCATCAGAGTTACTTCAGCCAGCACAGGGTCCAGCTCCCTGTCCATGTGAGAGATGTATCAATAAAAAGGGTTAGGGTAGCAACTTTGAAGTCATAGCTCTATGCACCGGGTACTAACAAGTGACATGTAATGTAATGTACTTCACACTGGAAATAAATTGAACTACAGCAAAGCTACCAGAGAGAAATATCTAGTTTGGTTAACCAACGCTATTTATAAGAAGCTTTATACTTAAATACAATTATCAATTACGCTATTTCAAAAAGAGCTGCTTGCTGACAGGTATGAATGCATAACATACTTCAGTTCACAGTTTTAGAAAGTTTGATCGATATCAGTTCTTATTAGTGTGTTTTGTTTTATCTGACTTGAGAGGATGTTGCTGAACCTACCTGGGCTCGAGCGTCTCTCCCGGCACGCTCTTCATCATGCTGTTCTGGACGACCTGAAACTAAAGGATGGAAACAAGCTCACAGTGGGTACGGCTCTGCAGGAAAACACTCCCATCACGCCGTTCAGAGGACACGCTCACCTTGTTGTGGTATCCTCTCTGCTGGATGAACTTGTCGACTATTTTCTGAGCTTGTCGGTCACATTCCTGCTGCAGGTGAGTGATGAGTGTGTACAGATGGCCTGGACCATAATACGTCTCCACTATGGGCTGATGAGTCTCAACCACACGGGCAATACCTGCAAACACACATTCAAACATGAGAGGAGTCCAGGAAACACACGCACACACACACACACACCATCAGGCGTGTTTCCTCACCCTCCAGCAGCAGCGTCAGAGTGTCTGCAAACACCAGCGATGCTCTCTTCTCCCCCAGGTCTCCTCCTGTGGCCAAGAGCAGGTTCTCTTCAGCTTTAGAGGCAAGCTGTGACAATATGTGTGTGAAACAAAGAGACATAACTTAGCTGTGAATGAACAAAAACATGGCTTTGCAGGGTATGTCTTCTAAACTGGAAAAAGCCATTCATGTACTCTACTTTTCCTTTAGCTGATGTATCTTGTCCAAGAACTCTTGTTTGTGTTGGTGGTTTGAATCATGACTATTTATACATTTGTTGTCATTTTAAATATTTTGTTATTAAAAAGACAATATTTGCTTTGAAATTATCCGTAAAACTGAAAAATCAATGAAAAAAAACACAGGATCTATAATTCACAATCTCATACGAACAACTAATTAATTAATGACTGTTCCTAACAATAATATAACATCAGATTTACTTACAGTGCTTACTCTTTTTGTTTAGGCAGCAGGACATTATCCACATATACCTACAGTACAGGGTTGGGACCTTATACTGATTTAAGTATTTAGCTGATACTCTTTAACATAATATAATAGAGGTTAAATCAGGATCAGGAATGTATTAGTTGTATTACAAGCAAACAATTAGGAGTACATAGGATTTACCAAAGTATTTAATAGGAAGTAACAACTGACCTGACTGCAGAGATAATGGCCAAAGCGGGCGAGGCCCTGCTGGTGGAGGCCCAACAGAGGGAAGATCTTGAAGAACCTTTCCACCTGTGCGAGGTCGACTGCTGCGACAGCTTCATCCAGCTTCTCAGCAACGATGACCTTCAGCTTCTGCTCGGCCTCCTGCAGCATTACAAGACTGGCATCCACAGCACTGCCTGCAGAGACAAGATCACAGTGTTGTACAATACTATAGATCTGAAAAATTCTATGTCAAAAATGATTTGAGACATAAAAAGGTTACGTTACTTCTCCACTACAGTGTAATGTATACTATAAAAGAGAAATTGAGGCTTCTTACTTTCGTCTCCCTGCCGACTCAGCTCTATAACTGACTGGTCCAGAGAGAGGTATCTGTGGATGTGGGCAGCAGCCTGCTCAAAGTCTTCATTACGGAGCGCTGTCTGCACGCCGTCTGTGCAGAACTTCAGATCCAGGATATCATCGGCACGCTGGATGACGTTATACAGCCGTGTCTACAAAAATAAAAGAAGATACAATAATAAATCAGTTTGTGATCTGACTATCAGCAACAGTTAAACATTTTGTGAGGGTATTTTTGATATTGTGTCTACATCCATGTTATCAACAATAGTATGGACCCATAAAACCCCAACTACGCCCATTTCTGTGACTTCAGAGGTTTATGGGTTTATGTGGATTGACCACATTATATTTCTATCAGTGTGGAAATTATACTGTATTTTAGGATGTGAAAAGTGTGGGTCTTTACCTTTGCCAGGTCTAGCTGTCTGACTTTGCTGCTGACGTTTTCAGCCAGGCTGCAGGTGAATGTGATCATGCCTGACAGCTGACTGGCGTCTCCTTCAATCAGCTGTAGGTTGGGCCTGTGGAGAACAGAGACAACATTTAGCACAACATGAAAGATTCTTGCTTAAAGAACAAAAGAGGCTTCTCAATACTCTTAATGTCCCCTCCTCGACTCTTCGGTCCTCCGGTAGTGACCTGGAAATGGATTTCAGCGCGCCATTTTGAAGGACATCTCATTTCTCGAAATGCACATCGAGGACCGAGCATCGAGGAGGCTCTCTGGAGGAGCTCTAACCGAGGAGACACTGATGGGTCCTCCGCGGATGCATTTCCGGGAACGGTGGAGGCGTTATGCACGGCCGGACTTATCTCAGCCCCTGGATATTATTTTAGTAGCTGCTTTCATCGTGACACTTTGTTTACAGTGAGAACAGCTGTGAGGTCCGTGCAGAAAGCAGAGCAGTGTGTAAAATATATATCACTCAGTATAACAGGCCTACATTACTCTCTGTATTTGTATGCTGTAGTTTAGTAGATATCTACAAACAAAGAGTCGATATTTTTCTAAGACCATTTAGTGCTTCACATAATAAAATACACAACGGCTGTAGCCTGATTATGCTTTAGGAGCTGTACTGTAGGTGTGTGTGGTACAGTGTGTAGGTGTGTGTGGTACAGTGTGTAGGTGTGTGTGTTGTACAGTGTGTAGGTGTGTGTGTGGTACAGTGTGTAGGTGTGTGTGTGGTACAGTGTGTAGGTGTGTGTGTGGTACAGTGTGTAGGTGTGTGTGGTACAGTGTGTAGGTGTGTGTGTTGTACAGTGCATAGATGCGGCGGACAGACGGGTCTCAGTTGGTTTGGTGTCCTATGTTTACTTTTAATACTTGTAAATACAACTTTTGGCCCGTAATTTCAATTCCCCATTTCAGCGACCAGAGAGAGGGGGGGATATATCCAGTCTTTGATTGTGTTACGTTATTATGAGAGTGCTCTCATACTTTAAATTGTAAATATTTATATAAATATATTTGTGTGTATATGTCCGCATTTGTAGCCTGTTATTGTCTCACACTGTCAATGAATCAAAGTAAATATATAAGTCGTCATGAACACATCTGTCCATCAGACAGAGGGCTGCTGTGCCTCCTGTCATCATTAATGGACGTCTCTTTAAAATGATTGATCAGAGGAGAGGAGTTCTCATTTCTCTAACCGCCTGCTGCTACCCCTCCTCTCTCCTCGAGTCCTCCGCTCGCATCTCCTGTGGGCGGGACTAAGTCTTGAGGATAGGAGTCGAGGATAGGAGTCGAGGAGGGGAAATTAAGAGTATTGAGAAGCCTCTATAGACTCTGGTGGTTGTAACCAATGTTAATCATCAGTTACTCTTTATAAACTTTACCCCATCCTCTGCAGGGCCAGCATCTTTGTGTGAATACTCCCCTCCTGCCCTACCAGTCTGTCCAGCTCAGACTCCACTTCTTTCTGTATCAGAGGAGGAAACACAACATGTCATTCAAGATTCAAGGGGTTTTATTATCATGTGCACAGTGGCTACAGTGTAGTTATGGCAATGAAAGTCTTAGGTCCCGAGCTCCTCCATCAGTGCAACATATTACATAAAGGAAATAAGACAACAAAATAACATAATCAGCAGTGTGCTGGACTGCATTTGTTTAGAAACAATTGCCAATGCTACGTATTATTATATATTATTACAATACCCAGTATTTTAATGTTACTGTAGCCCTATGGTATTTCATTATACATGTATCATTTTCTTATTCCTGCAAATTGCACCATTATTTCTGCTGCCTTTTTTTATTTGTATGTTAAGTAAAAGCATGTTGCATTGTTGGAAGAGCCTGGTATGTCATGGCCAAAACGATGTTGTTAATATTATATGAAAAGCCTTTGTGCATTTGAATTTGATTTAGTTTAATGTTGGGATCCTTGTAAATAATATAACAAAGACAGATTTAAAGGGATTTTTCCACTGTTAACTCAGACCAGTCAGCTTAGAAAAGATTAAACTGTAGTCCTAGCTGCTAAAGTCATTAGCTTAATTGTTTAATGTTTATTTATCCATAATTTAACAACGTGGAGGTTTTGTTTTGAGCCAGCAGCTCCCACCGGAAGTTTACGTGGAGGAAGCCAGTGACAGTACACGTCAAACTAACAGCCTTTCAAAAGTGATTTATATACGGACCTCCTCAGTGCAGAGCTGCCGGTAAACTCTCTCCAGGTCCTCCAGCTCCGTCAGCGCTGAGATGGTCTCCATACTGACCGAGGATAGAGAGCCAGAGTCGGATCTTCTTGCTGCCAAGAATCCGCTGTCAGCCATCTTCCGCCACAAATACAGGACAGGACCGAACGTCACTGTGTTAAGGTACTCCCTGGAATAAGCCTGTCAGGCAGAGAGTCTTCACTGTGTAATGTCGGATACCGAGGAGTAACGCTGAATGCTCCATTTTGAAATTTGATTAAGCATGACTGAAAAATGTTACGTTACCTTCTCTAACTTGAGCACTCATTTTTACCATGCGTTAACGGTGGAGCGTGTGGAGGCAGAACAGAAGCGCTACCTGAGAAGTCAAGTTCTGGGTGGAAATATTATCCTACTACGCATGCGCTGTACGTTACAGTTCTTAAAGATTATCCCTGTCATTCATAGGCAGTATATATATAGAACTGGGTTTATTTTAAAGTGTGTATTCCATCCAATACACTGGAGGTGAATAGTTTCATTTTGTACTGGCCGCATACAAAATAATTATGTATCTGCAACTTGTATTACCAGGAACAATTCCAAAGTCACTCAGGAGAAAGATAAAAAGCAATACAATTTTGAAGGCACTTTCAATTTCCAACTTCAAAAGAAAATTTGTTCTAAAAAAAATACTCTAAATTATTAGATCCATAATCGTGGTCATGAAGTAATTCAAATTAAATCTAATTATCTCTAAAATATTTTCTTGCCAATCAAAATAAGTGTAAGAACTAAGATGATGCTTCAGTAAAAGTATACAAATAGAAAAAACAAAATTAAATGTGTCTCTTTCAACTATATTTTTCATCAATGTTCAAGTTTTTACAACAGACTTGATAAAAACAATACATTTTGGTAGCAAGTCTGATCATTTCCTGCAGACATAAAGCCATGTTGGGTAAACTCCCATCTTACATCTGATCACAGAGTTGCAGGTAGCTATTGCCTGAGATCACATGATGTGGTTTTGTTACATGTGCCAAGTGCAAGGACTGACTTAGGTACGAAAGCTTTTATGTGAGCAGCTCCAGTTGCTTAGAACAGTCTTCAAAAAGTTTTGAAACTGAGCAAATTGGTTCCACTGGATAGGTGCAATGATACTTGATACTGTTGGTACTTGTCAATAGGTATGTAAATGTAGCCCTGTAAATATGATGTATGATGTCCTTTATTGTTTTCTGCTTCATGGTGTAACCTACTTGGTGCAGGTTGTTTTCTGTTTCATGGTGTAACCTACTTGGTGCAGGTTGTTTTCTGTTTCATGGTGTAACCTACTTGGTGCAGGTTGTTTTATGTTTCATGGTGTAACCAACCAATCTCTTCCTGCATTTTACAATTGAAAATGGCTTGTTGCAGTCATTAGTGAAAGCAGGCTGAGTTCAGAGGAAGGGGTTTGTCCTGGACATTTCGAATCATTTGATGCCAGAATAATATCATGAGTCAGCCCCAGATGGGTAGCAGAGGGATGAAGAAGCAGTGCAACACAGGTGTTACAGAAACAGTGATTGGTTTTTTTTTATTTTTATAAATGGTATTTTAATCAAATAGAAATTCAGTCATATGGTGGCAGGATCAGGTTTGTTTGACAACAATACAAGTTTTTCTCTTTCCTGCTGAAGTTCTTCCCTTTGTATCTGCAGCTCTTGCTTTTCACTCTTCAGCTCTTCTCTCTGTTTACTCAAGTATTTGGCTTCCTCCAGCTGTGCTTTCCTTAGTGACTCGATCTCCTCTCTTTCTGCAGCCGCTTCCCTGGCATTCCCCACCCGCAGCATCTCAAGCAGCTCCCTCTGATCCTCCAGAGCTCGAGCCTCCTGTCTCTGCGCTCGCCTCAGAGCTTCTATCAGCTCCTGCTCTCTCTTGAACATTTGCTTTTCTCCCTCTGATGCTCTTGAATCTTCCAATGCACCTGTAAGAGGGAAAGAGAAGGTTGCGTGTTTAATAGATTTTGGCTACAATATAACCAAACATGTTAAATGTTAATAAACTGTTTAAGTGTAGCAGATGTATCTATCTAACTTTGATGCTGAGATACTTCAACTACTGAGAAAATGACAACACTTGTACTTATGTTGGTTAAATGCACAAGTAATCAAATAATGTTCTAACTGGACATTTTACCTTCATATTTACTTATTTTACAGTTGGATTATAAAGGAAAGGTACAGAGACATATGTATAACATTCTTTCAAATGTTGATTAGATAAAACCAGGGGTGCTTTTAACCTCAAAACATATTACTCAATACTTAGTCTACTGATAAATGAAGAGGTGGGTTTTGTTGTTTATTTGTAAAAACTACAAAAGTATATATTTCTTTAAAAAACAAACATTACCAGAACAGTGTGTCGCTGACAATGTCGATGTGGCCCTAGTAACATTTGAGCCCCGTGATGAGTTGGGTCGAGATTTCTGCTTGCCGTCTTCTAGCAGCTGAGTAAACACCGCTGGGTGTCTCTTCGACAGGTGCCGATGCAGGTTGCTGGTGCTGCGGCCGTCAGAGCACTGAATCTTCTTCATGCAGATGTGGCAACGCGCAGCATTTAAACTGTCCAGATGCTCGAAGTGCCTCCAAATTAAGCTGCGTTTATTCCGTGTAACTTGTACAGGGCGGTCATCACTCACTATGTGTCCAACTCCATCTTCGTCCAGGTAGATTTCACAAGGAGAATTAATGCCAGCTTCTTCTAATTTGTCAGATTCATCGGTTGCCAGATCCAGGTCAGAGTCCACTAAAAAAAGGAAAATACAATTATATAAGAGAACTGCAACTAATGTTTCATTGCTGGTTACTATACAATATGATTTTATTTAAATAACTGTTGCAAGACCCGAAAAACCCAGTGACTCCAGGAAACAACACTGATGATGTGTTGGAGCATCAGAAGGTGTGTGTATTAACTGAACTACACACTCAAAAAGCAATGAGTTATAAAACATTACCAAATAACTTTCTCCGCTTCTCTGTCACACCAGCGGTCTTTGGTTGTGTTGATGTGCCCTCAGAAGCAGGTGAGCTCTGCTGCCTGTCTGCTAGGAGCTGAGAATACACTTCCGGATGTCTCTTTGAGATATGCCGATGCAGGTTGCCGGTGCTGCCGCCTTCAAAGCTCTGCAACTTTCTGCAAATGCAGCAGCGAGCAGATGAAGAACTGTCCGTCTCATCATAGTACTTCCAAATTAAGCTGCGTTTACTCCGTTTTACGCCAATTTTTACAGGGATGATATCACCCACTATGCATCCATCTTGGTCCAGGTAGATGTCGCAAGGAGAATTTACGCCAGCTTCATCTAATTTTTCAGATTCATCAGCTGCCAGATCCAGGTCCACTAAAAAAAGGGAAAATACAATTATATAAGAGAACTGCAACTAATGTTTCATTGCTGATTACTATTTAATATGATTTTATTTAAATAACTGTTCCAAGGGAAAAAACGCCTTCATGTTTTGTAAAAACAACATATTGACATATTTCACTTATTTGGCAAAAAAAGTTAGAATGAACTAACTTTTTCAACCTGCATGCCCTTTGTGTTCTGTTAGACGCTTTTATCCAAAGCGACTTACATACACTCCATACTGTGGACAATACCCACAGGAGCGACTTGGGATGAAGTGTGTTGCCCAAGGAAACAATGACATGCTGACTGCAGTAGGGATTGAACTTGTGCTCCCCTGATCCTAAATTCAACGCACTAGACCACTGAGCCACAGCGCCCACTTGAACACAGGCTGAGGTCTGATCAACCTCGGCCTGGTCGCCTGGAAGAGGGGCTGTCCTGAAACACCCAGTGACTCCAGGAAACAACACTGATGATGTGTTCAAGTTGGAGCATCAGAAGGTGTGTGTATTAACTGAACTACACACACAAACAGCAATGAGTTATAACACATTACCAAATAACTTTCCCTGCTTCTCTGTCTCACCAGCGGTCTTTGGTTGTGTTGATGTGTCCTCAGAAGCAGGTGAGCTCTGTAAGTGCTGCCTGTCTGCTAGGAGCTGAGAAGACACTTCCGGATGTCTCGTTGAGATATGCCGATGCAGGTTGCTGGTGCTGCCGCCTTCAAAGCTCTGCATCTTACTGCAAATGCGGCAGCGAACAGATGAAGAACTGTCCATCTCATCGTAATGCCTCCAAATTAAGCTGCGTCTATTCCGTTTCTGTGTACGTTTGACAGGGAGGTCATCACTCGCCTCTTCAGGAGTTAGTTGTTTCACTAGAGCTCCATCTGCAATTTCCAGGATGCTTTTAATAACTGCTCCATTCACAGTGGGGAAGCTGTATTGTTGTGCATCCTCCAAAGCCAGCTCCACTAAATAACAGGAAAACAGAAAGTTATTAATGCTGTAACTGAACATTTGCATTAATTGCAAACTAATTATTTCAGCACTAGAATGAAGATGAACATGCTTTTTATTTAAGGTGTGTGACTGGAAAAGAAGACACGTTTTAATTTACTTTTTAACCGTTTTATGTTGCACATGATAGTGAATTGAGTGTAGTCAAATCAAAGTTGCTTTTCCACATTTCGACATGTCTCAGGAGGAAAAGCATTGGTGTAAATAAAAACATAATGATGCCTCTTTGGTTGTTTACCTAATGTGAATTGCTGTTGTGTGCTCCCAGCAGCGTGTGAAATCGTTAACAAGGACATTATTTAGTTGTTTAATCTGAGTTAAAGGCAAGCATACCGAAAGTGACTTGTTTCGATTCCATCTTCTCGAAGGTCGACGGTTTGATAAAAAGCCCAAAACAGCGCTTAATTTACGGACTGTGACTACCGCTGTCCCCGGTGCTTCTTAACCCGGCATCGGTCTGAGAAATAGTGTACAAATATTCGTATTTTTTAACTAAAATGTCGACTGTTAGCTTTTGTGTTTGGTTTATATCAGGGTTGCTAGTTGCTACCTGGTTGCTACCTATGGTTGCTACACATTGTCCCACAATGCATTGCTGCCATCGTCCTTAAATCATATCCGGGGGGGGCTAGTTTTTGGCCCAATCCCAAACCACTCCCTCGACCCTACCCCTCAGTGACGGAGTGAACTCCGTCTGTAGCCACACTCGCAGCTCAACGAGGCTCCCTCCTGTCAGATGGAGGGAGAGGCGAAGTCACGCCCATCTACTTCCGGACCATGGGACCCCGGAAGCGAAAAATGTACATTGAATTAAATGGAGAGAGAACACGTATCTTTTGATCCCGTTTGAATTGTGCCACGAACTACACATATGATGTTTGTCAGTCTTAAACAATCATTTCCATGTCAAAAAAGTCACATTTTGTCGTAAAACTGCTCAAATATAAGACTATGAAAAATACGCTACTACAAAGACTACAAATCCCAAATCCCATTCTGGGTCGCGTAAGTGATGTCACAGGCATGCTCGGTGATTTATAATAAGACTCGTAATTAAAGCGAAGAAGAAGAAGATCTCATAACTGATTTATTCCCTCCAATAAATTATAGATCGCTAAAAATAAATTCACTTTTACAAGATGCCTGTGTGCTTTGTACCAGGTTGTAGTCATAAAAGTGATCATACCACTTGCTCCTTCTATCGATTCCCGTCTGATGAAAGGACCAGGAGTCGCTGGATCAGACATATCAGGTAATATCATAATATACATGTTGTGCATGGAACATAGTCAAGTTAGCTACCTAGCTAGTAGCGACGAGTAGCGAGCACGTTAGTTAGCATTACATTACTTAGCCTTGTCATTTTTAGTAGCCTTACCATGAAGTTATTATTTTATTACATGAAGTAAACCAAAATGTTAAACAGTAACCAAACATGATGGTAAGTATTTCGTGAAACATTTGAAGAGTAGCCTACTGCGCCCTCCACCGAGTGCTAAGGAAGCAGTTCAGGGAGAGTCGAAGGCAGGCATGGAGCTTTGCATGACATTCTTCTGGACGTGTTTCATTGTGATGACAATCTGTTTGTTGGAAAGACAGTCGTTGTGTGCTTATTGAGAGAAAATTGTTAGAAGAGATAATTATTCAAAGTGTTGTTACTTTAAAGTGTTGTTACTGACCTTTTTCTCTTTTATTTTCTTTACCTCACCTGTAACTGCTGAGATGTTGAGGAACATGCACACTGACCTGCTCTGGCAACCTGATTTCCACTGTACGTAATAGTATTTGGTTGTGGTATATTATTTATATACATCAAAGGCACAATGCACCCCCCAGAGACACACATGTATTGAGTGTGATATTTTGCTAGGTCATGTGAAATCATCTTTACATACTAGAAAACTGTAGGAGCGGCAACTTGTTTTGAAATTGAATTTGTAATATCCGATAATAAAGTTGATCTGTTTTCTTTATTCTTCTCTCTTCCCAGCTCCATCCATCACCATTCTCTGTTCCTGCAGGTCCTGCTTGCTAATCAATGCTCATATTTTTTTACACAATTACAAATAAAGTCATTGTATTGTATGACATGAAGTTGTGCTTCATTCGGAGTCAATAATAAATTCATTCTGCCTTCAACTGCGCAATGATTGTGGACTGCACCGACATCCATGTAGCTGCCCCCCAGTAAGATGAACCAAGCAAAGAGGGTCCCCATCATGCCCAAGGACATCCAGCTGGCCCGCCGCATCCGCGGAGAGAGGGCTTAGACTGACCTGAGACCAGCACACCCAAACACAACGGCTCTTTTAAGAGTCACCTACATTTTCAAAGAGTTGCAATCCTACGTTATTATAATGATTAAACTGGTTCATGTATCACTTAGTTTACTGAACCGTGATGAATGAAAGTGAAATGAGTGAGGTAGTGGTTTACTGAAGTTACAAAGACATTAATATATGAGTAACAGTAAACACAAGCTTCTGTCAATTATGGATCATTCAAACTATTAATATAAAAATATGTAATAAAGTTCTAAAACAAGTATTCGGTATATTCCTTGATAGCTTTTGGAGAAGGTTGTTTTTAAGTTTACTAAAATCTATCGTTTCAACTGTTTCACTTTATAAAAAAGGAACAGGTGAGTAGAGCATCATTGAGTTTCTTATTCTGTCAGTAAATTATCCAAATGAATGTTTTTCATTATTTTAGTCAACCCTAAACAAATTGATTGTACCTTTTAATGATGACCTTACATGGTCGGCAAAGTTAAATTAACTTCAGAAAATCAAATCTGTTCTGAGAAAAAACTAATAAATGTTTAAAGATAGGAACTTGCCATCCCACTGAAAAACAGTCCGTAGAGATTTAAAGGTGTAGTTGTAGTTCAATCCAACGTTTCATTTGGATTCATTTGACAACAGTCAACTATTTTCATAAAGAATATATATATTTTTCAAAGTCAACTTTATTGTCAATCTTACTCAGTTTGAGAGATCAAAAAGACGTTTAAATAAAATTATACAATTTACAGATATGTATACAAATATATATATCCTATATACACCATCATGTATAATGATGGTGTATGATGAAGAAGGAAGTGTGGTAGATAACAAGTAAATATAGAGTTACATACAGATCCATGTTACAGCAAAAGATGGAATAACTCAGAAGCACGCAGTATAATAATAATTACATGCAACAATTAAATAACTGCTCAGCATCTCCACCACAATCCCAATCTGCTGTGTCCTGTTTTCCTCCCCTCTGCATAACACCCCATCACACATACGAAACACAACGCAGAGTCCGAGGGTGTTAAGAGTATGTTTATTGAAATGTGCTCCTCTCTACTGGCCAACACAGGGAGCATATGCTGGGTGTAGAATTGTTCCAGGAGGAGGAGATTTCCATGCCATGCAGGGTCTTTGGGGATGGGGATGATGATCGCCTCCTTCGTGGTCCACACAACAAAGTAGCAGAGACTCCGGTCTGTGATATGCAGCTGCCCTTGGACCTGGTGCCAGTATGGGTGATTCTCCTTGAGAATATATGACCCACCCTCCTCACGGAGACAGAAGGATGGTAACTGGACTGCCTCCGCGATGGTCATGTTCCTCTGGCTGTGTGGACACTTCACCTCCAGCAGGGCAGATGGCTGCACAAGTCCATCGGGTGATGCTCCCAAAACACCCGACTCACTCACAAAGAGACCAGACTCGATTCTAACACTGTCACTTGATAGGCCTCCACAAAAGCCTTCACCCCTTCGGCCTCGTTTACAACCCCCCAGTTGACAGTTGGCGATGTCTCTGGCCAGTGGGTTGTATGCTCCTCTCGCTGTTGGTAAAGTTGAGACACCGGCAGGACTACTTTGGAAGTGCCAGGCTTCCTCCACTGGCACTCAACATCTGTGGAGCTGATCTGCCACATGGCAAATATTGCCAATGCTGCAGCGTGGCTGCATTTGTACATCTCCTGTGCACAATCACAGACAGCGCTCTGCATCGCGCCATCGTCTCCCATGCAGATCTGTAAAAATAAAGTAATTACCATTTGTTAGCATGCTATAATAGATTGAATGAGCAATAATACAAGGATGGTCCGGATCTGGGGGTGGGAGGGTTTATTTTCCCATAGTTTTGTCCTCTTGTCTGTTGTTATTGTTTGTTTTTTCTGTATTGTTTGTAATTTGTGTTGTATTGGTTGTGATTGTACATTGTATTTTTCTAAATGTGTATGAATACATTTTTGAAAAACATTTGATCAACAATAAAAAAGGATTTGGTCAGGATCTAGACTCAGTGTGTAGTTTATTAATTAATCAATGCTCTCTACATTAGGAAAACACATACCGGTGTACCAGAGGGAGTCACACACAGCTGTGCCTAGATAACCAAAATCCTTGAATCTACACACAGCAAATAAACTCAAATGACACAACGAGAAAAAGGAGATCACACATACAGTATAGTCGATATAAAACTGTCCGCTTCAATCTGAAGAGCAACTAAAACAAAACACGGGAGTGTACCTTGTTCTTGTGAACACTAATGTTATCCACAGCATACACAGAGACCACAAAGTTCTTAAGGAGAAAACTAGTTCCATCCATCCATCCATCCATCTTCTTCCGCTTATCCGTGGTCGGGTCGCGGGGGTAGCAGTTCCAGCAGAGAGCCCCAAACTTTCTTTTCCCTGGCGACATCAACCAGCTCTGACTGGGGGATCCCAAGGCGCTCCCAGGCCAGCGAAGAGATATAATCCCTCCACCTGGTCCTAGGTCTACCCCTTGGTCTCTTCCCAGCTGGACGTGCCTGGAACACCTCCCTAGGGAGGCGCCCAGGTGGCATCCTAACTAGGTGCCCGAACCACCTCAACTGGCTCCTTTCGACGCGAAGGAGGAGCGGCTCAACTCCGAGTCCCTCCCTGATGACCGAACTTCTCACCTTATCCCTAAGGGAGACACCAGCCACCATGCGGAGAAAACCCATCTCGGCCGCTTGTATCCGCGATCTCGTTCTTTCGGTCATGACCCATCCTTCATGACCATAGGTGAGGGTAGGAACGAAAATGGCCCGGTAGACAGAGAGCTTTGCCTTCTGGCTCAGCTCCCTTTTCGTCACAACGGTGCGGTAAAGCGACTGCAGTACCGCTCCCGCTGCTCCGATTCTCCGGCCCATCTCACGCTCCATTGTTCCCTCACTCGAGAACAAGACCCCGAGATACTTGAACTCCTTCACTTGGGGTAAGGACTCATTCCCTACTTGAAGTGGACAGTCCATCGGTTTCCTGCTGAGAACCATGGCCTCAGATTTGGAGGTGCTGATCCTCATCCCAGCCGCTTCACACTCGGTTGCGAACCGATCCAGTGAGTGCTGAAGGTCGCAGACCGATGAAGCCATTAGAACCACATCATCTGCAAAAAGCAGTGGTGCAATCCTTAGTCCACCGAACTGCAGACCCCCTCCCCCACGACTACGCCTCGAAATCCGATCCATGTATATTACAAACAGGATTGGTGACAAAGCGCAGCCCTGGCGGAGGCCAACCCTCACCGGAAATGGGTCCGACTTACTGCCGAGGACCCGGACACAGCTCTCGCTTTGGGA